TTTACATTTGTGTATATATGTATATATATTTGTTTTTTATTCTTATGTATGTTATACGTGTATATGTATAGATACATACACATATGTATATATCCCTTAAACACATAAAAAATGTTCCACCTCCCTTATAATTAGAGAAATGCGAATGAAAAATGACACTGAGATACTGTTTCTCACCTACCAAATTTGTGAAAATTAAGAGATACGATCATGCATCTTGTTGCCCAGGGTACCTGGGAAGCAGGCACTCTCATACAATGCTGGCAAAATGCAAACCTATAGAACCTTTCTGGAGAGGAGAACACCTACAAAATATTATATATGCATTTATGTTTCACCTACAGTCCCAGTTCTTAGAATATACTCTGAAGACATGCCTCTAACAATATAAAATACATATAAACTCATGATTGTTATTGTAAAGTACTGGAAAACTCTAAATACTCATTCATAGAACAGTGGTTGAATAAACTTCAGTACATTCAATGCAATGGAATACTAGGCAACTACAGAAAACAGTAAGGAAGACCTCTTTGAACCAATAAGGTGTGACTGCTGAGTACCTTGTTAAGTGAAAAAAGCTAAGGGCAAAAGAGTATCTTCAGGAATCAATGACAGCAGGGAACAGCTCCTGTTCTGGGGAGGGGCTTGTGCTGGCCATGGGGCTTTGGGTGTGTGATTGACTGCAGGTGTGCTTGTCTTGTGGCAGCAGAAAAAGAAAGCACTAGTGGTGAACCCGTCTCTTAAATATGGTAATCAGGTCAACATTATAGATTTGAATGATAAAAGTATCACTATATATGAAAATGTTATCCTTCATCAAGTGGGTGAAAATAGGCACATTCATGCCAGGCCAGCACACAAAGGTGGGCTGGTGACATTCTACAATAAAAGCTTATTCAGTCTCCAGATTAGCCTGAATACTCCCGGAGGGGCCGGAAGTGTGTGCTGTTTATCTTTGTGTGCTGAGTGCCTTGTAGATGTGGGGACCATATATCCTGGTTTACCCAGGACAGTTGTGGTTAGTCTATACTTGGCCTACCATCTAGTTAGTGTTAAAGGACACTTTCCTCTTTCCCAGTTAGGCCAGGTGCAATGGCTTATGCCGGTAATCCCAACACTTTGGGAGACCACAGTGGGAAGATCACTTGAGGCCAGGAGTTCCAGATCAGCCTAGTCAACATAGCAAGACTCTGTCTCTAAAAAAAGTGTCCCAGTTTGTACGACAGATTCTATGATGACCTTTTCCATGTAATAGGCACTCTCAGAAAATATCTTCTGAATTGAATGGAATAATTTAGAACATAATAAAGTAATATTTTTGCTGAAATTTTAAAATGTTGAACATATTTTTCTATGGAGGAAGTGTACTAACATGTACTGAGCAAAGAGGTAGGGAGAAACATAAAAGGTGATTATTAAATAAATGCATATATCTTGGCCTGTGAAAGAAAACCATATGGGAAATCATGAGATAGATGCGGCCTCAAACAAATTTCTTAACCTTCCTTTCTCTTGGTTTCCTCATTTATAAACTAGAAGTCATAACTGCTTTATACTATTGGCTGTATTTTGAGTTATTTTGAAAACCAGTGAGATGAGATGCAAATACACATTTTTTTAAAAAAAGGAAACTATACAGGAAATAATCTAGGTCTGTTTTCCAAGTCATTCCCAGTTATTTTTCAAATGGTCATTTCTACTCTAGAGGGGACTGAAGTGGGAGTAGGTCCACAGGAGTGCAGAGCAGTGGCCCCAGGACTGAGTGAGAAAACCTGGATTCTGATTTTCCTCTGCTATTCGACAGCTGTGTGATCTTGGACCATATGTAATCTCTGTGTTCTTTATCTGTAAAATAAAGATGACTAAGCCAAAGCCATCATTTCAAAAAAAATGAGAAAATTTACTGAGTCATTTAAGATGATCTACTTTAAAATTATTATTATGCACTCTGGAGTATAAGATTATGAAGCCCTAGGCTAACAGTCATGAGTAGGAGGTGAGGAAGTAATCCCTTCGTTTTAGGAGAGTGAAAGAAACAGGAAATAAGGACTTTCGTTAACCATGGATACAAGGAGATTCAGTAAATATAGTGTACAAATTCCGTCTGATTGTCCAAGGTAACATGCTGCATGGGAATCATTTAAAATCTGTCTTCTATGCAAGAATGCAAGTTCAGGCAGAGGGCTGAGACCCCTCATTTTCTCAGTCTCACCAGGGCTTGGGCAGAGCTGGCACATGGTAGGCACTTAAAACACTCTGGACCTGAGTGAAGCAAAGCGGATCAATCGCACCCCTAGCACGACCGCTCCATCTGACTCAAGGACAGAGGTGCCCATGATGTCTCCATTCCTGAGCAAGGGACACACACACACACCCCTCCCGGCACCACGCTGTTGGGACTGCACAGAGTCCTGCCTAAAAGTCTCTGGACTTCCCGGCTTTTCTGCTCTCGCAGCCCCTCCTAGTTTCTTCCCGGCTCTCCTGGGCCCCAAGCGCTTAGGCAAATGGCCCTTCGCTGGCGCCTCTGTTATGCTGCGAGGCACCCGCTGATGCGCCTACAATTGACCAGGAGATTCAAGGTACCGGCTGGAGAGCAGGCGGTTCTCAGTGCTCGCGGCGCCGAAGGGAGGAGGGAGGAGGGACGCCAGGCCCCTCTGAGAGGTGACCCTGAGAGGGCGAGACCCAGGCGAGTGAAGAACACCGGGAGCTGAAACCAGAACGGAGAACACTGCAAATTCCCGCCCCGTGGCGTCGTGCCGCAGAAGGACCGCCTAGCTCCCTGCAGGGGTGGGAGTACGACAGGGACCCCTCTCCCCAGGTTTGCGCTGGGAGCCTGGAGCCTGCACCGAAACAACCCTTTCCGTAACAAGGACTCGCTCCGCTGAAGGCCCTACTCTTGGAAAGCGGTGGGTCATTGCTCCGCAGACCTGGACTCCGGTCCAAGCGAGGCGTTTCCACCGCTCGAGAGGGATTCGAAAGCATTTCCACCTCAAAAAGTCTCATTTGATCGTCGCAGCTAATCAGCAAGGGCACGGCTGGCGACCTAAGTCTAGGATTTGAACTCAAGGCTTCCGACGCCAAGGACCCCCAAGATGTCCTTTCTCTACGATGTAAATATAGTGCGACTGTCCGCAGGGAAAATTCCACCAGGTGATAAAGTGCCGGCAGGTTTGTGCCGTTAGGTTTGTTTCTACCCCGGATCACCCTACTTCCTGCCTCTAGCACTTGGAAGGTGAGAACCAGGGAGCTATCAGTATCCCCTGGAGGGACGGGGTAGAGCTGTACCGCGGAAATGCTCTAAGTTCAGGGTCTCTCGTGGGTGTCCGGTGGTGACTGTAAATACCCATCGACCAGGCACTCGCCTGCACCTCCGGGGTAAAGGGTAAAAATAATATTGTTTTTCCAGGAAGCCCTGGAATGGCATGTCTTATGAGCATTAAAATATTTGACTCCATATGCTTCTTCTAACGTGTCCTGAGAAAATAATAGACTATATTGACAAGGATGAAAATGAAAGGCACAAGAATAAAGCCTTATTTACAGTGATGGGAAAAAAGACAATATCTAAAATATAAATACAGTCTAGTATGGTCTTTCCATAACATGAAATATTAGATTGCTCTTTTCAATTATATTTGTTTTAAAAATTCCAACTATGAACTAGGCATGATCATGATGTAAATTTAAATATATACAAACTCACATATACCCTATGAGCTCATATATGCAAAAATAAAAAGAAGAAGGTGCACAAAAATAATGTTATCCCCGGATGGATAGTTTCCTTTAACTTTTCTTCACTTTTTCCAAGGTGCCCATGATTACTTTTGTCAGAAAATTAAAATCCAAATAAATGTGTGGGTCGTCACAAGATTTTGAGATCTCTAAGAGCAAAGGATGTCTATTTCAAAAAGAAAGAAAGAAAAGGTTTATTGTCTTGGTTTACCGACTAGTCTGGTCCTGCAATTCGGTGAATCTTCTGGGCCACGTCTCTGATCTGATGAGTGAGAGAGAGAGAGAGAGAGAGCGCACTAGCGAGAGAGAGAGAGCTGAAAACTTTTGGGTATAGCTTTGATGTAAAGATTAAATGTTACCATGCATAAGAAATCATTACTTGGTAGCCAAACGATCAAATTTGCTGAGATTTTGCATAAATCTTTGTATGCAATTTTGTATCCATTAGCCTGGGGAGATGAGCTGGGTTTATCTGGATTTCAGGAGATAATAACATCCAAACAGCTATTGTCAACATTGAATTCACATAAGAAGGTTTAAGAAGCATTTGAGGCCTGTGAGATGGCTCACACCTGTAATCCCAACACTTTGGGAGGCCGAGGTGGGGAGGTGGGCACATTGCCCAGGAGTTCAAGACCAGCTTAAGCAACATGGTTAAATCCTATCTCTACAATAAATAAATGGCCAGGTTTGGTGGCATCTGTGGTCCCAGCTACTCAGAAGGCTGAGGTGGGAGGATCAGTGAGCCCGGAGACTAAGGCCATCATCTGGCCACTGCACTCCTGCCTGGGAGACAGAGACAAACCCTGTCTCAAAAGAAGAAGTGGGGGGGGAGGCGGGTGGAGAGGAAGGAAGGAAGGAAAAAGAAAAAGAAAAATTGATCCGAAATCCCCAAAAGAACTCTAAAGAGATCTCACTGTGATTAAATCACAGTTTTTAAAGCTCCTTCGATTCTGTGCTGACGCCAAATCACTTTTCCTTGATCCAGGCCCTCTGAGTAGTAACAGCAGGGGCTGGGTCTGTTGGCGCTATATCCGTGTTGGTAACCATTGTACCACACTGCCCCATTCACTCAGCGCCCACTGTATCCGAGGGCCTTTTCAGGAGATTTAGTGCGAGTCAAATTTTCCCAGCCATCCGACGGGCGCCGCATTTATACACGCACACACGCTGGCACGCTCCAGGCAATCCTCTTTAAGGAGATACAGGTGAGGAAGAGAAGGAACGCGGGGACGCCAAGGACGACGGTAGACCCCCTCTGACCACTTTGCACGGGCCGCAGCGATGGCCTTCCCTTCTCCCCCACCCTCTAAAAGGCCGAGGGCTCCCTAGATGTAGCCCCTACACCCATTTCTCGGTCTTGAGGCTGAGACACTGCTCCTGGGAAGTGGCGGGTCGAGACTCCGCAGACCTGGACTCGGTTCGAAGAGAGGCTTCCACCTCAATACAGGCGGTCCGGCCTCTGCGCTGGCAAGATCCCAGTGGGCATCTCAAATCCCGCGGGCCCCCAGCTGTCTCTGTCCTAGCTTTCCTCTGCCGTAAGAATGCAGAGTTGAGCTAAGACCAGGCTGGATGGACGGGATCGGGTTGCACAGAAAGGACTCCACCCCCTATCCCCGCACGTCCTCCAGGACGGTCCCAGTGGACCCTAGGTTGACCTCGGAAGCTCCCGCTAGTACCGTATTGACGAAGATCCGAGCCGCACACAGCACTCTCCACGTTTTCTTAATTTTTGAGAACTGTCAATAAGAACCAAACCTCCCAGGAAGGCGACTGAGGACTGAAGAGGATTAGACGGGCGAGAGAAGAAAGCGCTGGGGGAGGAAGGTGCAGGGTTAGCACGTGGTTTCTGCGAGAACCAATGGGGGGCTGTGGTCTCGTCACCCGGCCCTGGACCCAGGCCCGCCGGGATGGTCCAGAGGAAGGCGCGGTCTGGGACGCTGGGCGTCTGTCTCAGAGCTTGGGTTTGTCTGCGGAGCCTGCAGCGACAGGACGGGAAGCTCGTGGTGCCGCGCCTCAGCAGGATCAGGCACTCCTCGGCCCCGCCCCATCCGCCTTCGGGATGCTGCTGAGCCCGGTCACCTCCACCCCCTTCTCGGTCAAAGACATACTGCGGCTGGAGCGCGAGCAGAGCGGCCCCACGGCTTCTCCACACCCAAGGGTGCAGAAGAGCCCGGAAAACTTTCAGTACCTGAGAATGGACCCGGAGCCGCGAGGGTCAGAGGTTCACAACGCTGGTGGCGGTGGAGGTGACAGAAGGCAGGATGTATCGGAGCCTCCTGGGGGTCCCTCTGAGGCAGTCTTGGACATGGACTCGGAAAGGATTGGGGAGCCACGTGAGTAAGCGCTCAGGTCTTGTGTCCTACAGGGGGAATATGGGTGTGGGGGGCGTGATCCATGGTTGTGTGGGGAAAATGCGCCTCCTATCTCGTGGGTTCGAGACTCTGTCCCCATTTTCTCTCACTTGAGGAGTTCAAAAAAAGGCCTCTGAACCCCATTTCCACCCTCTCCTGATAACCAGTGTGCTTCACACGCCCCTAACGAAATTAAGGCCCTGAATCTTAAGGATTTCCTTTTTCCTAAATCCGCTCCTCTGATTCCCACAAACGCATCGCTCCCACTCTCAATCACAGTGCCCAGAACCTCCACAGCGAAACCCTCCGCTGAGCCTTAGCCGTGCCAGTCACCACCGCGCCTCCCTGTCATCACCCCGGTATCTCTCTACCCCCAAACCGTTTGCAAAAGAGTGTGGCCATCAAAGCAGTGGAACCCTCGTGGCTCTAAGGCCCCTCCTAACTGGGCCCTTTCTTGCGGGCCTGGCCAGGGCCCCCTACTCCTCCTCATCGATTCTTCGTCTGGAAGACGGAAGCTGGGGACCGGATAGCATTCGATTCTCCAGAAGTGGAAGGCCCTGTTGGCGCAGGGTTCTCTGCGTCAGGGAGAATGTTAAAGGCCGCCAGGGTTTCCTCTGCCCTGGAACAGGGCTCCGGTAGAGGCTTATCGCCTGAATCCAAAGGCGCAACCACATGCCAGGCTGCGGAGGCCCACGCACCTGTGTCCAGCAGCTGGTAGGGAAGGGGCTGGCGGGGAGCTGTGTTGCGACGATCCGGAAGGCTTTGGCTGCAGAGGCCGGACAGTTGGAGGGATGAAAACGCCACCTTCCTCTCTCCAAAACTCAGCACCTTGCTTGGCCTTCTCAACGCCCGCGCTCCAGGTAGTGCCCAGCAGGACAGGCCTCCTCTGCCAGACTGTGCCATGATACCCTCATTAAAGGCACAAACGAATGAAATAAATCAAGGGGCTAGATAGGAATTATTCACTGGCTTGCAGTGTCCTTCTTGTCACCAGTTATTCACTAACTCCAGAAGCCGGAGAACATTATCTGCTGTGTCCGCCAAGAAGCTGATAGGTTTTCTGCAACGGATTCTACATTCCCTTGGCGCTGCGCAGCCTCGGCGATCACTTGGGCTCTGCTGACAAAGGATCACGTTCCTTTGACCACCGACCACCGCAGCCCTTAGTATTTGCGGCGCCTTCCTCCTCCCCCTGGAAACCAAATCCCAGGCCTGTCTCTTCTGCTGCAGCAGTGGATGCCGCCGAGGAGGGACCCGAGGCCAGCTCCAGGAACTGAGCCCGGGGCCACGGTGGCAATCCGGATGGGGAAAGCACCTTCGGTGGGCTTCACGCCCTCCTCCATCACAACCGTCCCACCTCGCCCTCCAGAACTCCAGGACTGTGACAAGGAGAGGGCAGAGTGCCGGTGTGTCCTGCAGTTGTGTGCAGCCCCAGCGCCTGCGTGGTCTGACTTTCAAATGGGGTCCTCCTTGCTCTGCAGCCTGGCTGAAGGTCAGTTGTTACCTTTCCTTGTGCTAAGAAAACAACCCCTCCTCAGGATTTTTCCTCTTTGCTAGGGGAGATGGCCTCAGTGTATCTGAGCAGTTATCTCTGAAGAAAGTCGTTCTTTCCTTAAACTTTAAATACCAAACAGCTCCGTCCCCCAGGAGATCATGCCAGTGCCTTGGGTATTAGGAGTCTGGTTCCAATCGCACCGGCTCTAATAGGCCTGTCCTTGTCCCCTCTTGCCATGAACTTGCACCCCCTCCATGCTCCTGGATTGCTCCTGGCATGAGATGCCATGAAAACTCAGCGTTTCCTTTCTATCCACCCTTAGAGTCAAACGCGACTTAAGCCCAGACAGGAGAGAGGTGAGAAGGGAGGAAAACACTGCATCTTGGTGGGCACAGTCTCAGCTGTAGGGATCGCCCTGGGTGAAAGGAGGACTTCAGGGTGAAGCCCACACCACCTGCTTTCCAGAAAGACCCCAAAGGAGGGAAAGGTTACTTTTTAAGAAGCCAAATGTGGACCCCAACTTTATGCATCTCTCAAAGAGAACCTCAGTTTCCGAGCCTAGAGTCAGGAGCCAGGAAATATTTTGCTTTCATCACATATTGTTAATTTGGATTAAAAGTGTTACATCCAAGAAAGCTGGGATGCATCCTTGGTGCTGGTGGAGTACTTCATCACGAAGACAAGAGTGTGTGCGAAAGCCGGGTGATGGCAGGAGGCACTCAAGGCTCCTGCTCCTAGACTTGGAGCCGGGTTCCTTGCAGTGTGCTTGGGGCTGCAAAGGAAAATGAGGCAGATGGGAGCCTCCTGAGAGCCTGTCACCGAGTTTGCACCTTCTTGTCACCCAGCCTTCTGTTTTTCTTTTCTTCCTCTTCATCCTCTTTCTCCTCCCCTTCTTCCTCCTCCTCTTCCCCTTCCTCTTTCTTCTCCTTCTTTCTCTACTTCCAAGAAGGGTCCAAAGTCTCCCCAATCTGATAGACACCCCTACTCACATTTGTTCCTCACAGCGAACGTTTGCCAAACTGGACCACCATGCACACACATTCTAAGAAGCAAATAGAGCTACCTTAACCCTTTATCCAGAGTTTACCTTTTAGAAAAGGACGCATACACCGGGGACCATAGAGCGTCACAATTTACGTTCCAGCAGCACCATATAAAAGTGGCAGAGCTTGGAGGGAAAGAACATTGAGACAGTCCTGGGACAGGATTGGGGGCAATAGGAGGGAGGGGGAGGGCACAGGGTGAAGCCTGCCAGGGAGAGGAGAGTCTTGAAAACCAAGTAGGAACTGCTCAGGTGAGCCTTAGGCTGGGCGCTGATGTGTCCCTTCCTGTGCTTTTAGTGCCCGGCCTGAGCGCGGCCTCGCCCCTTGGCGGCGGGATCAGGGTGCCAGAGCGCGGCGTTGGCAACAGCGGCGACAGCATACGGGGTGGCCGCTCGGAGCAGCCCAAGGCGCGGCAGCGGCGGAAGCCGCGCGTGCTCTTCTCGCAGGCGCAGGTGCTGGCCCTGGAGCGGCGCTTCAAGCAGCAGCGGTACCTGTCAGCGCCCGAGCGCGAGCACCTGGCCAGCGCGCTGCAGCTCACGTCCACGCAGGTCAAGATCTGGTTCCAGAACCGACGCTACAAGTGCAAGAGACAGCGCCAGGACAAGTCGCTAGAACTGGCCGGCCACCCTCTAGCGCCGCGCCGGGTGGCCGTGCCGGTGCTGGTGCGCGATGGCAAGCCCTGCCTGGGCCCCGGGCCCGGCGCGCCCGCCTTCCCCAGCCCCTACGGCGCCTCGGTGTCGCCCTATTCCTGCTACGGAGGCTACACCGGAGCCCCCTACGGCGCAGGCTACGGTAGCTGCTACGCGGGCGCGCCCTCGGGGCCTGCGCCACACACATCACTGACCAGCACAGGCTTCAGACCCGGTGGCCCGAGTGCCACCCCGCAGGGGCATCTGGCAGCCACGCTGCAGGGCGTCAGGGCCTGGTGAGGCGCCTCCGTTTGACTCTGCCCACCAGGGACAGAAGCTCGGTGCCCTCCCCTCCGCCTGCAGGTCGCGACAGGACAAGGGGACGCGGCGGTGAAGGGAAGCAGCTACCCAATGGCGCTTCTTTCCGGGGCGGTCTCTGGACCTGCGATTGGCACTAGAGTCACCCAGCTAAAGGCTCTGCCTAGGACGTTCTTCCCCCAAAAGGCGACCCCTTCACCGGTCACCCACCAAGCAACACAGGGACTGAAGACAACCTTGGCTGGCTGGCAGTTTAAGGGGTGGGAGCGGTACTGAGGCACATGACCTTTGGGACTTCAACCCCAGGGCCTGAGAGGCTCTTGAATGTGTACACAGTGGCCAGTGGCCGCGGGCATTGCGAGTGAATGGAGATGGTGATCTAGGGGACCTACCAACCTCCAATTAATGACAGCAGGTGGGGGAAGAAAGAGAAGAGGACCCGAGTGCACAAAGGGGGCTGAAGAGCCGGGAACTTGAGGATCCGGGAGGTTCACGAAGAAGAACCTGCCTCCAGCCTCCTTCTGGAGGGTTGAAACATCCCCCCAAGGCTGCTCCTGTCGGGACTCCCTTAATCCAGAGAATGCTCTTTTCTGGCCACAGTTGCTCTTCTGGAAGTAGGCTCTACATTCCGGTCCCTTTCACTATCGTGCATTTTCTCTCTTTGTACAGCACAGCTTCTCCAATAAATACACTACATAAGTGTGTGTGTGGTTGCATGTGCGTAGGCCGCTAGAACAGGTAGTTGCCATTACCTTGAAACAATTTCGAACTAAGTAAAAATGAAGCCCAGAAGTGCTGAGAAAACAAAACCGATTCAGTTCCGGAAGTAGGTTTCCTAATTTGTTCCCTCGCACTCCTCTCTCCCTCTTTGTAGGTTTTCTTTGGAGCATCAGCAGTTCTAAGTTCTGAGCCAGGTAAAGAGACCTCCAAGTGCCCCCCAAAGTCATAAAAAGATGAGTAGAAAGCCTGGCCTTTAGGGTCTCTAAAACTGTGAAATTTTGACATCTTCACCCCCATGTATCTGAGGTCATGCAAACTCAAGAATCAAAACAAACTCATTTTATTCATACGGATATGGGATCAAATGGAAAACGTGTTTGGTGAGACAGCTTTTATAGAAAACTTAGTAGGAAAATCTGGCCTTTATTCCCCCTTGGATTGCATTTTTTGATAATGAAAACTCTAATTATCCATCCCACAGGACCACTGACTTATTGAAGGTTAAATTCTCTTATTTGATAAATTCCCATATTTAATTCCAATGTACTACCCCTGAATTTTCTCATTTCTGATATGGCCTGGTTGTTTTACTAAAGTGAGAAGCAGACTGCTTGAGGGCATGTAAACTATACCCAACTGCTGATAGCTTTCATCCCTTAAAGTGTATATGTTTAAGCTTAAAAAAAAAGTAGTCGTTAATTTTTTTACTATTATTTTCTTACATTTTCTTTCCTTTGGATTTTTACCACTTATCTCTTTTATTTATTTGTTTTAATTCAGCTAGGTTCTTGCTTGTTGCCCAGGCTGGCATGTTGTAATGGCATGGTATTATCATAGCTCACTGTAGCCTGCACCTCCCAGGCTTGAACCATCTTCTCACCTCAGCCTTCCAAGCAGTTGGGACTATAGGTGCATGCAATCACACCCAGCTAATTTTTTTGATTTTGTATATAGAGAGGGTCTCCCTATGATGCCCAGGCTGGCTCAAGCGATCCTTCTGCCTCAGCTTCTCAAAGTCTTGGGATTACAGGTGTGAGTCACCGAGCCCAGCCCTTTTTTCTCCATGTTCACTGCTAATAAAAGTGTGTTCAGAAACACTTCACAGTATCTTTCTTCCCCTTCCCCTCCACCCCTGCCCCACCGATGGAGTCTTGTTCTGTTAGCCAGGTGGAGTGCAGTGGTGCAATCTCGGCTCACTGACCTCTGCCTCCCAGATTTAAGCAATTCTCCTGCCTGAGCCTCCTGAGTAGATAGGATTACAGGCTTCTACCACCATGCTCAGCTAATTTTTGTAGTTTTAGTAGAGATGAGGTTTCACCATGTTGGCCAGGCTGGTCTCGAACTCCTGACTTTGTGATCTGCCTGCCTCAACCTCCCAAAGTGCTGAGATTACCCCACTCGGCCCC